CTTATTTAAAATGTCAACTTGTGAAAATAATTCCACTTTCAGGCATACAGAAAACTTTTTCTCCATAATTTATGGAGATGTTATTGTGTAAAAGGCAATCTGAGTCATTGCCAGCCAGATATGTCAACTCGAACATGGTTAAGTCACGTTGTGCAACATTTTACAAGCAACCTTTTTTTGAATAGTAGGCGTCCCCTGAGGAGATTACTGAGGAGAATGCTTCCTAAACCAACTTTGGGGAAAGCAGAATTCTAAAATGGTAGAATTTGATGTAAATTATATGAAGGGAAATTGAAGATTAGCAGGGGGGACTAGATGATTCAGCAGAGAAATTTCTCATTACATTAATATTGACTGGTGTTATTTCTTCTTGTTCTTGTATGTCCCCCTTTTCCACCTGTGTTTTCTACACACATCCACATAGTTTGCTCAAAAACTGTTAATTTTGCTAACAATTAAATGTTATTTGGAGGCTAAAAGAACATCATTTTTGTATGTATTCAGTTCTCAGCTCAAACACAATTTTGAAAGACAGTGGAGCTGCATTTTTCAGCCATGTGGTTTTATCTAACTTTTCCTGGAAGAGTTTGGCTCAGAAACTGGACAGTTAGTGCGAAAGTGAAAAAATGGGGATACCCACAAGAATTTAAGTCCTCTTTTGACGTCCTTACAATTAAAACTCTAGTATGATGAGCAGGAGAAAAGGCACAGAAGCTGCCAAGAAATACACAGCCTTTGTCCTGAGTCTTCCCCCCTCACTGTTTATAGGCCCACCAAAAAGAAAATAAGTCGCAGATTTTGGCTGAAAAGGTAGCTCCTTGTACCTTTGGACTCTATTGTATGGTTTTTTTCATGCTGTTCATACTACTCAATTCATCTGACTTCAAAACACTTAAAATATTCTTCTGTCTTCACTTTTCTAAAGCCTGAAAACAAGAGCCCAGAGTGAGTGCAGATGTGGCAAAAAATATGTTGCCTACCACAGCTTCACTATTTCGAACTTTTTAACTATTTACTATAAAAACATCTACGCTGATATTATTGAAGTTTTTGATCTGTGGCTCTATGTTCGACGTGTGTGCCAGACGTGTCTCGTGTAGGAGTGGCAATACTGTAGTTGTTTTAGAACCAGAATTCAGTAATATACAGGTTCCCTGTGTTCAGAATACAATGACAGCATCACTATACATTATTCACCTGCTTTGATCAAAACCCAAAGGCAGATGTATGAATTTTTTTCATCTGTTAGCTCTATAATGAAATCAATTGATCTGAAATCTGGCTTACCATCTGAGAATACATAAAGCAATTAAATACATGGATTTTGTTCATAAATTCTTCATTTATACAGTACTGCGAGAACGTCTTCAGCCACCTCTCGTTTCTTTATACTTTTCTGGGAAAATGGGAAATAGGTGTAGTGATTTACCAAAAAGCATGGGAATACAGCATATGAGGTATGAACAGATTTTCAACAATTCTAATATGTTTGAAAGCCAGTGTTTGGTGTGGCCACCTTTAGTCTTCAACATCTGAACTCTCTTTGGCAAGCTTTCTTGTCATTTCTTCAAGTAGTCTTCAGGAATAGTTCTTCAGGCTTCTTGAAGGATAACTGTCTTTATGCTCTGTTCTCTGTCATGATCCCACAGTGCTTTAATAATCCAGTAATCTGAGCTCTGGGGAGGCCAGTTAATGGCTGATGGTATTCCACTGCATGTTCTTCTGTCTGCGTTTGTTTTTACTGCACTGGCAGTGGTGTTTGGGATCATTGCCATACCAAAAGAAAAAAGAAAAAAGAAAAAAAGAAGCCATTGCCAATAACAGACTTTTAGATGGCATTGTATGGTGGATAAAACCTGAAAGCAATTTTCATGTTTACAACTCCACTGAAGTTAGGAGATCAAAGCCAACTTTGTGGATAATTAGTTTATTAATGCTCATTGAAGCAGTTCAACCTTTAAGATTAAGCATCTCTCAAGAAAATCGTGGATGTAAATGGGCAGCATTAAACGAGCAAGGAGAAACAAGCTGACAGAGGAAACTGGCACAAGCACGGGGAAGACATGCAAACTGCACCCAAAAGGAATTTTGAAATATTTTTGCCGCAGGGCAATTGTGTTAAACACTAAGCTTCTATGCTTATGGTTGTCCTTTTGTTTTAGTAGGGAAATCAAGTTTGACCAAGATATACTAGAATTTAGCTTTTTGCTGTCTTGCTTGCAAAAATGTTAAAAGTTGTGACTCCAAGCCATGTTTAGTTTTTCTTATAATGAGCAACAAAGGTGACAACTTAAAAAGAAATAGAAAAACTTAAAAGCAAAACAGTCACAAGTTCCATTGCTCTTCTTGGTAATCATAGCCTTTTTTCTTTGTCTAAAATAAAACACAAACGGTATCTTTGCATCAGCAGCAGTGATGAAATAGATCCCGTTTGCCGAGTTTTGAATGTCTCCCGACAGTTTTAGGTTACTAAAATGGTTACTCATACAGTACTTAAACATAATTGCTGCATATGCTTTCAGTCATAGATAACTGTATTCTGTTCATCACTTAGTCAATTAAATAAGAGGAAAAAGTTTTAAAGTTCCATTAAAATGATTAAAATGTCCCCTCGTGTGGAAGGAAGGAAATCCTCATGAGAAACTTGAGTACATATAAATCTAATTATATCTAATAAAAACTATGATAAATGACTCAAAAGTTTTATCATAAATGTTTCTGAATAACTATTTTTTTAATAAATGACTTTAAAGATAAATGTCATTGTTTTGTAGATGTGCAAGTGTTATACACCTATAGATGTATATAAATCAAGACAATTAAATGAAATTAAGAGGCAAATAAACTGAAATACAAACAGCATGTATGCATTTATTGGACATGAAACAAACACAGATGGATGAGAGAAATATAGCCAGAACTGTTAACGGATATGGTTAACAAGAAGCTCAAAATTCATTCATGTTTTCACTGTTTTATTATTTTGTGATGGAATTGAATTTGTGCTGCGTCTAAAATGACCATTTTTCAGTCCTGGCCTCCACTGACTTGACTAAGCCCTTCCCCATGATTCGGAAGTCCTCCAGTATTGCTTCAACATTGGGAACAGTCTTAGCTTCATCTCCAGTGACCTCCACGCTGCGAGCAGACACCTGTGACGTCTGAGGTTTTGTGAAAAAACAAAACAAAACATAATAACAAAGAAAAAGGAAACATGAGGAAAAGGTGATTAGTGTGAAGGTGTGAAAATGAACAGAATGACTATTACAAAAGCAAGTTTTCCACACACCCAAAAACTTGTTTTTTAACTGCCTTCATGTTTTTAAATGGAAGTCACTTTGCAATTACCTTAAAGGGGGTTGGGATGAATGCCTTTGGCTTCCATAAAACTGTGATTACTGTTCCACCACATGGATCACAGAAGAAAAGGGCCAAGTCTCCAAATGCCTCCTGGAAATTAAAAAAAATAAAACTATGTTACGCATGTCAACTGACACTTATTTGTGAAGCTCAAAGCAAAACTTATTAGAAAACTATTGAGTATATCCCCCCCCCCCCCCCCCTAAAAACAAACAAACAAAGAAACCAAAAACACACCCAAAACCCACTTCAGTTTGACAAGCTTACTCAGTCAAAACAGGACTGTGATAGACATGTAAATGATGGGATACAGAGGAAGAACCGGAATTAGTATGAATGTTGTGCAGTTTGGATTTCACTGCCTTACAGTATAAGAACAGCTGAGTTTATCTCGGATTTTCTCTTGTCTGCGATTTAATTTTTTATTATCTGGAAGCGGCTCTGCTGTATCACACGTCAGCTTTCAAGCATAATATCTGCTTCACGCTTTTTTTTTTTTTTTTAAGTCTGTCAAAAACACACTCAGCATTTGAAATGTTGAAAGACATTACTCACTCTTAGCTCTCCCAGGTAGAGGGACACAGGGTTGTAGTCGATGACTGGAAGGGGCCCTCCAGGCTGAGCCACACTGCCAGACATCACGCCCCTGCTGAAGGTGATGGCCGGAGGATCTACTGCCTGGTCGAGCAGGGGGACCTGCTTTGGGTTCAGGTGAATCACAACATCGTAAGCGTCCAGAGGAGGACGCAAAATCACCTACACAAATACGAAGAACGCATGAAAACACTGAAATAGCAAAAATCTGCATTTATATAGTGGATAAATCATGAAGGCAGTATTCACCCACCCTGACATCCTGCTTCTGGCTGCCATCTATCAGCTGATGTTCCAGCACTTTAAGACTCTCTGCAGCCACCATTATCACACGCTGCAGCATCTGAACACACATTCAAAAGTGGCTTTGAACATTTTGAACTATTAGCACCAAAAACACTGTCTCGGTTTTCAAACTAATAGTTAGCACTGGAATATATGTTACCCATATCTTGTAGCATAATTTTATCTGGGGACCTAATTTCATACGGGAACTGCATAACAACTGGAAAGCTGCAGCGAAAACACCATTTTCTGTATGGTTTCTAATTTTGCCAAATTGTTGAAAATAAAAACAAAAACAAACAAACAACAACTTTAAATACACCCCTTAAATCTGTTTTGAACTTCCACCACATTTTTAATCAAAGTTAGTTGATTACAACAACAGAGCAATCCAATTTCTTTTTTTAATTGAGAGAAATATAACATCATTCAACCTGAGAGCTCTTTCTAGTCCAGATATGAATTGTTTCAACCTCTATGACATTTTTGAAGTCATGGAAGTCTTTATTGGAAAACACTGTCATTAGAAATAAACTTAATATTCAATCTGTTAATAGACTACTTTCATAGTCTACTCCCTGGTGGTTATTCACAGGAACTGCAACAACTACAAATTTAAAAAAAAAAAAAAAAAAAAAAAAAAAAAGACTCATTACCGAACTCGTCTCTACAAAAATATGCGTACTAATTCAACAATGACCCCCTCAGGCTTCACATTCTCAGGGATGTGAAGCCTGAGGATCCACAGGAGGTAAACTAGAATCAATGTCAACATTTGTAATTAAGTCCACAGTGACGTCTTTATCAGGACGTCACAGCACAAATTTCCTGTTCTCCAAGAACTATAAAGGAGGATGCTGGGAGAGGCAGGTCCTTAAAATTGTTGTTTCTAACAGGAGCAAGGTAGCCAAGCACAGGAAACCTATCTGGGTCAGCCGCACACTATGGGAGGCTCGTGTGCGTGTCTTTTCTGTACGATACTGTGTGCCACAGGACTACTTTACGGCTGCGGTCACGTCCAAGCAGAGGAATATGAAACTAAATATTTTACTTATTTTACTACCAAAGAGGATGGCAATGAAAAGCAGCTGGTGAGCTACACCTGATGGTTTTAAACTGATATAATTAATGATGTAAACATCGTTCTCAGATTTATTTACTTCAATAATCCTGTTTATCATTTGACCCTTTGAAATTTTTTATGTACCGTTTCAGATCAGTGATTTACACGACGTTTTGGAAAGACTTCAGAACCATCCGTTTCCAGTTCTAAGAAAAAAGCATGGCTATCTCCCTGTGGTATGCAAGGCAAAAACTAATACCAGCTGGAATTCTAAAACTGATCTAGTCAGTCTGTTTAGAACAATTTATCATCTTTTATAGAGGTACTGAATCACTCTCTCAATTTAATATGATTCCTGTCTTTTCAGTGTGATCCAGGAGAGCAGTGTGCACTAAGGAAAGGATCCCGGATCGGAAAACTATGTGACTGTTCTTTGCCAAGAACATGCAACTCTTTTCTACACCGCTGTTTATGATTCTCTGCACCTGCAAGAAACTTTTTAAACACTGTAAAAGCAAAAGGAGGGGAAAACACTTCAGATGTATTTTAAGCTATAGTACATTCTTCAGTGTTCTTTTCTCACATGTTTACTAAACAAATGTAATATTTAATCATTTAAAATTCAGCGCTGAGAGCTGATCTATTAAATACTTTGTTATTTGTGTACTTGTGTGTCCACTGACCTGAATGCTAGGTGAGCGTTTGGTCCACATAGACAGTTTTTTGTCTTTAGGCGTAGCTATAAACATGACAGGCAGGGACTCCCGGGTGGCCATGAAGCCATTCTTGATCTCTGGGTAGTCCACAGCTACACGTGACAGAGAGGCAAAAAAGATTTGGCGTTGAAACAATAAAGCATATGGACGGATGTAGAAGTATGTTGGGCGAGTAAAAAGAAAGAGGTCAAGAGGGATTTGTTTGTGTCACACACACGGAAAAGGGATGTGTGTGAGAGAGCACTTGCCCGTGAGCTGGTTGTTGAGGTTGACAATCAGCGGATTGTTCCTCCAGTCAAAGGAGGAGAGCAGATGAAGGAAGCGAAGGAAGGCCACCTGTGGGGAACTGAGGAAGATGGAGAAATTCACTCACATGACCCATAACAAACAGAGGAAAACGTGTTTCCTACACAAAAAAAACAAGAAAAAAAAAAGCAAAAGTGGTGGCTACCTGGGAGCAGTAAAGGGAGCGGGCTGCAGGAAAAGCGACGCCACCAGCAGGTCTGCTGTGTCCTCTGTAATGTCGTCGCTGAACAGCTGAGCACTGAGCCAGCGTTTGGCCAGGCGACATGCTGCGCCAAAACATGGGTGTTGCTGCTGGAGCCTTCAAATAAAAAGACAAAACGCACCAGACTGAAGAAAATGAAAAGACACAACTAAAAACATAAGTCTGCTTTGTCACACAGGAACTACTTTGTATCACTTTCGAACTTTTACCCATGTAATGTGCTAGTAAGCAGAGGCTTGTGAATGGTGGCCATCTCCAGAGCCTGGGCCTCGTCGTTGTCTCTTACAACCAGCAGCCCCTCTGCAGTCAAGCTCTCCCGAAGCACCTGAGGTTCACGGTGGTATGCCACCTGGATTCGGAACACCAGGCCATCCTAGGGGCAAAGTGAAACATGTGCTGCTTTAGCCAAAGGTTTCTACCTGTAGAATGGGACTTTTTACTCCTGACTACCACCAAGTGCTTGATCTTTAATTAAACTGATGAACTTGTCTCCATTTCTTTAAAAGCGGGGTGTCTTACAGAAGTGCACTGAGAGAACATGCTATGATTTGATGCAATATAAATTATACCAAATTGAAAAGGCAGCTTAAATAAAAGGAATATTGTTACGTGCAATCAAACATTACAAAAAAATAAAATAGTCAAACAACTTCAGAGTATACACTACTAAGTTACCTACTGTCAAATGTACTTAAGAAACTTAAGAAAACACCAGCAAACAGAAAAACGCACACAAAACACAACAGAAGTGTTTTTGGGGAGACAATAATGTGACGGAACAGCTGCAGAAGCTACAGGATCTACAGTATTATATAAATAACATGATTAAAATGCATGGAGCCCACCTAACCAGAGGTGCTCTGTCTTGTGTTAAAATAAGAGAAAATAAATTTAATATTTGTTGGTCTGTTTTTTCCCCCCTAGATCCCTAGTTGCTCTAAGAATAAACTTAAAGACAGAGTGGCTCAGTGACCCTTTTCTCAGTTATAAATTATATATATCAAGTTAAATTTCACAGAAAAGCCAGCTAAGGGTACACATAATCAAAAACATACCTTCCAGACATCCAGGTGGGTAGGACAGGGCCTGCATGTATAGCTATGGTGCTTTCTGAGTAGCTCCCCAAGTTGGATGTGAAACGCAGCTCGGATATGCTGGATCGCAAGGCGGTCATGAGGCCATTTCCCACTCCCTTCCATGTGACAGATTACTGCAAGAATAAGGCAGCCAATACATTGGTGTATGACTTTGCATTGCTACAGTCTGTAGTACCCAAGAAAATGAAGATAAATGTTTTCGTTTGAGTCAAAGTGTATGCATAATACACCACGAACAGCAGCCAGAGTGGAAATTACTAGACATCTAGGTGCAGTTTTTTCAAAGACCTTTTAAAATGTTTCAATGAATGAGCCACTAACTTGTTATAGGAGCGATATAGACAGGACATGGTTTGCCTTCCTTAGGCACCAATGATCTGGAAGTTTTCTCTCTGTCAAAAAAGGAATACTCCAGTTTCAGTGGCCGTGGGGGAAAGACCTGCAAAGGCACAGTTGAGTATAAATTCACAGTTTAATATAAAAGACATCAATGTTTGATCAAGAGCTCACAGGCTTGGAGTGGGATCAAGGTGCCATTTTAAAATTATGCATTTTTTTAACAACTTATACCTATTACTGCCGTCATGGCAGCAGTTTTCTGGTAAGAGCGAGGCATTTTACCTGTGTGTATCTGAGTGCAGGGTGTGCTCCTTGAACAGCAGTGATGGTGAGAGGCAGACCTTCCAGCCTCCATAGTTTTCTGCTCAGGTCATCATAGGACTGAACCACCACTAAGCTCTCCTCCTCTCCAGTGCCAGACACCTGAAGAGCATAATGTGTATTAATATTGAAAAAAGACATTCAGAGGCAGATGCAGTGATGAAAAACATCACTGATGCCCTCTTCTGGTGGTTTTCAGGATTAGACTTTATTTTTTAACACAAATAATTATTTAACTGCTAAGATAATTTAGCTACAATTACAGAATTTGTTACAATCTTTTTAAGTAAAATAATAAAAGAAAGTTGAGCTTTGACAGACAAATAATTATCAGAAAAAAAAATGCCAGTGGGGTGTGTTTTTGCATGTGGTTGTAATGGTTATAATTATAACAAATATAACAAATCCCAACAGTTTTAGAATGTTCTTGCCATTTTAAGTTTATATAATTACTTAATAAATCATAATTAGACCATTATAGCTGTGTGTGTGTGTGTGTGTGTGTGTGTGTGTGTGTGTGTGTGTGTGGTGTGTATATATATATATATATATATATATATATATAATATAGATATAACAAGACATAATACTATTATTATTGTCAAACAAACTAAGCATACTTTCTAGATTGATCTGTATTGACCCAAACCATACTGTTAGGGGAAAATATGAACGGTATGTCAGAGTTCGTCTTGAAATTTCCATCATACGTGGCTAAAATAATTCAATAATAACGGTTTACCTCACTTCCCGTTTTGATGACGTCATCTACCATCGCCCCGACATACCGCACACAGGATTCGGGGATGTCTGCGTGCCTACGGGATGACACACACGTTCTCTCTTTTTTAACTTGAACCTTCAGTGAAATTGTACACATAATTGCTTCACCGCCAGGTTTTTCTAGGGCACATGCCGAAGTGAAACAGGTCACAGCCTGTTTACATTCCCCCAAACCCCGTTTTATTTTTTACCCCATCCCCGATAGCAGTCAGTGCTAACATTTGCTAGCTTGCTAAGGCTTGGAAGTCCTGAATTAAGTATGAAGCGCACAGGAAGGAGGCGCAGCTCCGTGTGGGACTGCTTTGAACAAACGGGGAACTTCGTCCGCTGCATGAAATGCAACGCGACGCTGAAATACTGCGGCGGAGCCACGACCTCCATGATGAACCACATGAGCAGGCACCATTCATCCGCGACGCCGATGGACGAGGACGAGAAACCCGTGATCTGCACCGTTCAGTGCATCGAGGAGGAAAACGCTTCCAACAACTCGGAAATCACGCAGGTTGCAGTCATGTCACCCAACATAAACATCACCCCTGCTGAGCGGGACTCCAGCGAGAGGAAACGCCTGAAGCGGAGCTCCGTTTGGGATATCTTCGTCAAAGTGGACGACGAGGTTCACTGCACGATGTGCGGCACGAAGCTCAAATACAGAAGCAGCACCACCAGCATGATGTACCACATCAAAAACAAGCACCAGGACGCAGCACCCAACGACGGTGTGTCGCTGGCAACGCATGCGGAGGTGACTGAGCTCATCTCCAGAATGATAGAGAAGGACATGCTCCCCATCAGCATGGTTAGTGGCGATGGTTTTCGCGAACTGCTTGCATACACTGTGCACAGTTATAAAATGCCATCTGTTGGTGATGTTACACGCATTATTGAAGGCCATTTTCATGAGAAGGTTGAAGAGCTTATGGTACAGCTGGGTAGAGTGGAGAAAGTGGCTCTCACTGCAGACTTCTGGACTGGTCTCACCTTTCAGAGGTACATGACCATATCGTGTTCATTTATAACAGAAGACTGGCAGGGGAAGTCAGCTGTGCTGCAGACGCACAAAGTTTCAGCAGGCAGCCACTCCACTGCAGACACTGTTACAGAGAGCGTGCTCAGCACCGTGCAGGCGTGGGCCATCGCCGGTAAAGTGACCTCATGTGTTCATAACGACACGCAGAACAGCTTATCAGTCCAAGCATGTACCCGTGCCACCTGGGACTACACGATTTGCTTTGCCACAACGCTTCAGCGAGCAGTCAGCGATGGGCTTAGTGAAGATTTACTCCGCATCGTTGTTGCTGCCGGGAAACTAGTTAAGCACTTCAATCGCAACTTGCTTGCGAATGAGGCCTTGGAACAGAAGCAAGTTCAGATGTGCCTGCCGCAACGCAAGCTCATCCAGTCGAGCAAAGACAGATGGGACACCATCTGCGACATGTTTGAACGTTTGCTTGAACAACGGTGGGCGATTAAAGCCGTCCTCTCCGACCGCAGCGTCACCAGCAGGCAGGAAGCTCAGACCCTTGAGATTGAAGATGACTGCTGGCAGATAATTGAGAACTTCACGCCTGTGCTGGCGACACTTAAATGGGCTACAACAGTCATATCTGCAGATACGGAGGTGTCCATTTCAAACATCTACCCGATCACCTTCAGCCTGGTTCAGACTCATCTCGTGCCAAAAGAGAATGACGTCGAACAAGTCTCAGAGTTCAAGCTCAAAGTTCAGCAGTCACTTAGAAATCACATGGAGGTAGGCACCGGTTTTGACTGAAACATATTAACAAGGAAAAAAAAATAATCTGCATTCCCTTTACATATATTTATGCCATTTTATTTTTACTTATTGCAGGTTGACTCTAATGACCTGGCTTCAAAACCGGCTCTTATCGCCTCCATGTTGGATCCCCGGCACA